TTTTGGGTTTTTTTAGATATGAGCATAGCAAGCCACTGAAACAGGAAGAAGCGACTACTACAGATCTAACTGCAAAGTCGTCCCTTGCTGCTTCCTCAACACTCTCATCAGTAGTTGGACCGCTTGTTGAAATGAATACAGGAGAAGCTGAGTCAAGAAATTCAAACTTTCCAACTGTAGGAGCAGGTTCAGAGGACTGGGTGAATGCCATCGAGTTTGTTCCCGGGCAACCCTACTGTGGCCGTAGTAAGTATTCTGAAGAATAAAATAAAAGAGGGCTAGACAGTAGTTAATCAGTTAGCTGAGTTTTTAAAAACTTCCTGCTTCCAACCTTCATATTTAGCCTAATCTTAAATTGGATTACAAATGGAGTAAAAGGAACTTTTTGAATCCCAATAGTAATGAATTCAGAATGTTTTGAAAACTCTAATCAGTACTTTTAAAAATTAGGTTTCAGTTACATAAGAAATACATAAAGAAGCTTTTTTGAATAAGTCTAATCTTGGAAATACCAGCATTAGAAAAAATTTGTTTCTTTTTAAAGAGTGAAGAAATTAGCTCAGTAGACTGTTTTGGAGTTTAATTGAAGTAATTATTTTTTCTTTTCAGTTAGGTTCTCAGTTACTTTATATAGTTCATATATCTGTGTTAGCCATTTGGACCTTTACCACCCTCTTAAACATTTTCAGCTGCCCCTTCCTGCACTGAAGCACCCCTGCAGGGCTCAGTGACCAAGGAAGAATTAGAGAAAGAGCAAACCGCTGTGGAAACAAAGAAGCAGCTTTGCCCCTATGCTGCAGTGGGAGAGTGTCGATATGGGGAGAACTGTGTGTATCTCCATGGAGATGCATGTGACATGTGTGGGCTGCAGGTCCTACATCCAATGGATGCTGCTCAGAGATCACAACATATAAAATCTTGCATTGAGGCCCATGAGAAGGACATGGAGCTCTCATTTGCCGTGCAGCGCAGCAAGGACATGGTGTGTGGGATCTGCATGGAGGTGGTCTATGAGAAAGCCAACCCCAGTGAGCGCCGCTTTGGGATCCTCTCCAACTGCAACCACACCTACTGTCTCAAGTGTATTCGCAAGTGGAGGAGTGCTAAGCAATTTGAGAGCAAGATCATAAAGTCCTGCCCAGAATGCCGGATCACATCTAACTTTGTCATTCCAAGTGAGTACTGGGTGGAGGAGAAAGAAGAGAAGCAGAAACTCATTCAGAAATACAAGGAGGCAATGAGCAACAAGGCGTGCAGGTATTTTGATGAAGGACGTGGGAGCTGCCCATTTGGAGGGAACTGTTTTTACAAGCATGCGTACCCTGATGGCCGTAGAGAGGAGCCACAGAGACAGAAAGTGGGAACATCAAGCAGATACCGGGCCCAACGAAGGAACCACTTCTGGGAGTTCATTGAGGAAAGAGAAAGCAGCAACCCCTTTGACAACGATGAAGAAGAGGTTGTCACCTTTGAGCTGGGCGAGATGTTGCTTATGCTTTTGGCTGCAGGTGGGGACGACGAATTGACAGACTCTGAAGACGAGTGGGACTTGTTTCATGATGAGCTGGAAGATTTTTATGACTTGGATCTATAGCAGCTTTGCGTGGCGTGTGAACTGGTCTGCTGAGCCTCAGACAGTAGCTGTCCCCTGTGGTGGTGTGGCGGTGCCTGTGTTCTCTCCTAGGCAGGCCTATCAAACTCCAGGTGCTGTCATAATAACTTCTACCCAGGGCCTGTCTTTTCCATCCTTCACCTTTCCCCAAGGAGTGTGTTTTCTCTGGCAGAACCTGACTTAAGGGCTTAAGAAAAAAATTTTTTTCTTTATTTCCTTTTTTAAAAAAAAATAACAGCTTTTCTGAGACTGACATTCCATGCAATTTATTCATTCAGAATGCACATTTCTTTGGTTTTTAGTATATTAACAAAGTTGTACAACCATTACCACTATGCTAATTTTATTTAGGACATTTTCATCATGCCCAAAAGAAATCCCATGCCCCTCCATTCTGCCTTTTCTCTAGCTCCTTGGCAACAATTAATCTTTATGTCTCTGGAATTGACCTTTTCTGGACATTTCATATAACCTGAATTATTCGTATATCACCTTTTGTGACTGGTTTCTTTGACTCACTGTTTTCAAGGATCTCCATGTTGTGGCATGTATCAGTACTTCATTTCCTCTCATGGCTGAGTAACAATCCATTGTGTGGCTATACCACATTCTGTTTTTCCATTTTGTTGACAGACATTTTGGTTCTTCACCTTTTGGCTGCTATGAACATGCATGTCTAAGTTTTTGTGGACATATGTTTTCATTTGTCTTGGGTATATATCTCTAGGAGTGGAATTGCTGGGTCATACAGTAACTCTATGCTTAACATTTTGAGCAACTGCCAGACTACAGTGGCTACATCATCTTATGTTTCCAACATCAGTATACCGGGGTTTCAGACTATAGTTTTGAGCATACTTGTAGCATGAATTTTTTTGTTGAGAAGACATTGTATTACAAAAGTTATTTTATTTTATTTTTTTTTAAAGATGACCGGTAAGGGGATCTCAACCCTTGGCTTGGTGTTGTCAGCACCACACTCAGCTAGTGAGCAAACTGGCCATCCCTTTATAGGATCCGAACCCATGGCCTTGGTGTTATGAGCACCGCACTCTACCGAGTGAGCCACGGGCCGGCCTCAAAAGTTATTTTTATTGAAAGAAGTTTTGCTTCTAATCATCATTTCCATCTGTATTTAATAAAAAATAGTTTGGTTGTGGGGGGTGAGGCATGGTATAAGAGAGATGAAGTTTGAATCCTACCTTCACAGCATACTAATTGTGTGAATTTAGGCAGGTTAAATCCCTATAAATCTTTCATCACTATATTGGGGATAGTAGTACCTACCTCTGGAGATTGTTTAAAAAAACAAAAAAAAGGTTCAGGAAAAGGACAGGAAATATTAAGTGACTTAATTTTGGGGGTTATGGGTGACTTTTCTGTTGCTTATCTGCATTTTTCCTGTCTCAGGTTACTTATAGATTAGAAAAGTATGTGATGTTCACAAAGAAACTTGTACACAGATGTTCATAGCAGCATTATTCATAATAGCCCCAAAGTGGAAGAAATCTAAATGCCCATCATCTGATGAATAGATAAAATGTAGTGTGTCCACTCAATGGAATATTGCTCGGCTCTAAAAAGAAGCAGAATACCAATATGCTACAACGTGGATAACTTTGAAAGCATGCTGAATGAACAAAGCCAATCACAAAAGGCCACATATTTATATGAAATGTCCAGAACTAGCAAATCCACAAATTAGTGGTTACCTGGGGGTGTTGCGGGAAAATGCGTGACTATTAATAGATATGGACTTTCATTTTGCAGTAAGGAAAATGTTCTAATATTGACTGTGGTGATGGTCGTACAACTCTGAATATACCAAAACCCATTTAATTGTACACTTTTTTTTTTTTTTTTTTTTTCAGTTACATAAGAAATACATAAAGAAGCTTTTTTGAATAAGTCTAATCTTGGAAATACCAGCATTAGAAAAAATTTGTTTCTTTTTAAAGAGTGAAGAAATTAGCTCAGTAGACTGTTTTGGAGTTTAATTGAAGTAATTATTTTTTCTTTTCAGTTAGGTTCTCAGTTACTTTATATAGTTCATATATCTGTGTTAGCCATTTGGACCTTTACCACCCTCTTAAACATTTTCAGCTGCCCCTTCCTGCACTGAAGCACCCCTGCAGGGCTCAGTGACCAAGGAAGAATTAGAGAAAGAGCAAACCGCTGTGGAAACAAAGAAGCAGCTTTGCCCCTATGCTGCAGTGGGAGAGTGTCGATATGGGGAGAACTGTGTGTATCTCCATGGAGATGCATGTGACATGTGTGGGCTGCAGGTCCTACATCCAATGGATGCTGCTCAGAGATCACAACATATAAAAGTAAGTCTTTAGGCGATTTATATGTTCTTAGGCATGAGAAACGTTATTTGTCCTTTCATAGCATTGCTGGTTCATTTCAGAGAAACATTTGGTGAATTGAATGGTTATCAGTAAGTAGGGATGTTTTCCTTCCTGGGTTTTATCAAGTCATGCTTCCAGAACCTGACTTAAGGGCTTAAGAAAAAAATTTTTTTCTTTATTTCCTTTTAAAAAAAAATAACAGCTTTTCTGAGACTGACATTCCATGCAATTTATTCATTCAGAATGCACATTTCTTTGGTTTTTAGTATATTAACAAAGTTGTACAACCATTACCACTATGCTAATTTTATTTAGGACATTTTCATCATGCCCAAAAGAAATCCCATGCCCCTCCATTCTGCCTTTTCTCTAGCTCCTTGGCAACAATTAATCTTTATGTCTCTGGAATTGACCTTTTCTGGACATTTCATATAACCTGAATTATTCGTATATCACCTTTTGTGACTGGTTTCTTTGACTCACTGTTTTCAAGGATCTCCATGTTGTGGCATGTATCAGTACTTCATTTCCTCTCATGGCTGAGTAACAATCCATTGTGTGGCTATACCACATTCTGTTTTTCCATTTTGTTGACAGACATTTTGGTTCTTCACCTTTTGGCTGCTATGAACATGCATGTCTAAGTTTTTGTGGACATATGTTTTCATTTGTGTTGGGTATATATCTCTAGGAGTGGAATTGCTGGGTCATACAGTAACTCTATGCTTAACATTTTGAGCAACTGCCAGACTATAGTGGCTACATCATCTTATGTTTCCAACATCAGTATACCGGGGTTTCAGACTATAGTTTTGAGCATACTTGTAGCATGAATTTTTTTGTTGAGAAGACATTGTATTACAAAAGTTATTTTATTTTATTTTTTTTTTTAAAGATGACCGGTAAGGGGATCTCAACCCTTGGCTTGGTGTTGTCAGCACCACACTCAGCTAGTGAGCAAACTGGCCATCCCTTTATAGGATCCGAACCCATGGCCTTGGTGTTATGAGCACCGCACTCTACCGAGTGAGCCACGGGCCGGCCTCAAAAGTTATTTTTATTGAAAGAAGTTTTGCTTCTAATCATCATTTCCATCTGTATTTAATAAAAAATAGTTTGGTTGTGGGGGGTGAGGCATGGTATAAGAGAGATGAAGTTTGAATCCTACCTTCACAGCATACTAATTGTGTGAATTTAGGCAGGTTAAATCCCTATAAATCTTTCATCACTATATTGGGGATAGTAGTACCTACCTCTGGAGATTGTTTAAAAAAACAAAAAAAAGGTTCAGGAAAAGGACAGGAAATATTAAGTGACTTAATTTTGGGGGTTATGGGTGACTTTTCTGTTGCTTATCTGCATTTTTCCTGTCTCAGGTTACTTATAGATTAGAAAAGTATGTGATGTTCACAAAGAAACTTGTACACAGATGTTCATAGCAGCATTATTCATAATAGCCCCAAAGTGGAAGAAATCTAAATGCCCATCATCTGATGAATAGATAAAATGTAGTGTGTCCACTCAATGGAATATTGCTCGGCTCTAAAAAGAAGCAGAATACCAATATGCTACAACGTGGATAACTTTGAAAGCATGCTGAATGAACAAAGCCAATCACAAAAGGCCACATATTTATATGAAATGTCCAGAACTAGCAAATCCACAAATTAGTGGTTACCTGGGGGTGTTGCGGGAAAATGCGTGACTATTAATAGATATGGACTTTCATTTTGCAGTAAGGAAAATGTTCTAATATTGACTGTGGTGATGGTCGTACAACTCTGAATATACCAAAACCCATTTAATTGTACACTTTTTTTTTTTTTTTTTTTTGGCGGTGCCTGTGTTCTCTCCTAGGCAGGCCTATCAAACTCCAGGTGCTGTCATAATAACTTCTACCCAGGGCCTGTCTTTTCCATCCTTCACCTTTCCCCAAGGAGTGTGTTTTCTCTGTTTAAAAAAGTTACAAAAATAAATCTTAAAGTTAGTTTTTTTGTAACATGAATTTGACTGTCAGACAGTTAGTGTAGGTTTGTTGCATCATCTGTTTGCAACCAGATTGTGTTTATGGACTTTCCACATACATTTATTTTGAGGACTCCAGGTTCAAAAGTAAAATCCCTGGCCCTGTTTTGGGGTTCCAGAGTAGGGGTGATGTGTGAAGGGACCTGAGCTGGCAAGTAGCCTTCTGCTATAGAGGTAGGAGGTGGATCCTCAAGTTTTCTGGTGAAATCTGCACATCTGTGTTTTTATATCTGTTCCCTACCCTGTAATCCCCACCACGTGCACTTGTTCTGTGGTTTTGGTCTTTTGTCTAATTGCACACAAGAAATACTACTGGGTAACCAGAACCAGGTGTGAGTGTGTTGAGATTTTTACTATGTTTAGCATGATAGGAAAATTGTGAAAGAACACACATAAGAGATATAGTGGTATACAATTAAAACCAATGCATAGTTGGAAGTTGACTCCCAAGGGCTGATAGACTTGATGTGTGTAAGTGTGAGATATGCCTCTCATCCCTGCATAGATGCAGTATTCGTAGCCTTAGTGGAAAAGCTTGGTTTAGTGGTTTCAGCCCCGTGTGACAGATCTTAAAGGACAAGCAGTATATTTGTAGTTGTTAATATATAGCAGTGCTAGCTCTATCTGTATAAATAGAGAAATGGGGTTAGCCATAGAGGTTTAAACCATCTGGTTATCCCATATATTAACACAAACTGGGTCTAGGATACGCAGTTGTATTTAATGTTTTATGATCTAGCATTTCCAGTCCAGGCACTTTTTGAA